TTTGGTGCCAGCGCCCCTCTTCTGCTGCAGCGGGCTGGTGTGGGGGCCTCAGAATGCCCTGGGAGGATGTCGAAGGGTCGGAGGCAGTGCCGTCGCAGGCAGATCCGGCGAAGGCACGGACGGCGAAGGCACGCCTTCAGTGACGGCCGGAATTCGGGGCCGCCTTCAGGTCAGTGGACCTCTGCTCTCCACGGTCATCGACATCGCGGGGGTGGGGGGGGGGGGATAATTCCGGGATAATGCGGGGCCTCTCTGCTCTGATAAAAGACGGCTCTCTGAGCGCTCTCTGAGGTGTTGGTAGCCTGCCTTTCGGCACAGCTACTGGAGGCCAGCTAAGATTTCACTTTGGTATGTGGGAAGCACTGGAGACAGGCAGTGGGTGCTTGGGACACCATGGAGAAGCTCTGAGCGTAGCGCCTCCTACCGGTATCACCCCAACACTGACTGTCAGGGACAGTGCTTCACTTGGGAGGTCTGATGGGGCTCCGAGCATAAGTGTAGAGTCGTAGAGTACAGGTGGATGTAGCGCAAAACTAAAACCCGCGATTGCAGACAACGGGGTTTTGAAGACACGAGGCAAACTCCCCCAAGATCTATAGACACGACCTTCCCATGCACTCCAGCATTGAGCAAAGCATATCCCCGAGCAGGTAGACTTGCTCAAAGCTGCAGTTGGGATGTAAGCATGAGCTATATACAACGATGCGTTTCGGATGTTGTGATGGTTTGAGGCTGCGTCTCACAGTCCAGTATGCTATCCTCATTCTCAATGCGCGCGAGCATGAAACCCTTGGCTCACATGCAAAACAAGGCCTTGGGTTTGAAGATGGGTCGTATGGCCGTAGGGTGCTCGAGAAAGGCGGCCCTGCTTTCTGTGAGGGGCTCCTGACCTTGCATCGCAAGCCACACCGTGGTTTCAGCCCCAAGCTTGCGGGTCCCCCCCCCCCCCCCCCCCCNNCCCCCCCCCCCCCCCCACCATGCCCGTGCTGCTGCCGCTCCTGGGTAGCATATCATCTCCTTTTTGCGCGGTTCAGACACACACAAAAATCCCCGTCCTGTCCGGCCCGTCCCCCAAGATTTCTAAGGCAAAGTGCAGGCCAGCAAGCTTTGCCGGCTGCCGATGAGCCTCCGAGCCCTCCCAGCCCTGCCGCGACCCCTGCGAGCCGAAGTGCGGTGTCCAAGCTCCAGAGCATGCGCAGTGCCCGGAGTGCCCGGAGTGGGCACAGTGGGCACAGCCGGGGTAGTGGCGACAGCCCCATCGCCTGAAACAGCACATGCCTTTTTTTTGATAGCTGGCCTATTTGGCGCGTTGTTTTCTGAAGACCGGCTCTTCAAAGACGCTTGCGTGCAAGGTGCCATTCGCGGAGTCGTCGCATCAGATGCCTCTGACGAGATCGATTCGCAGGTTCGCTGCACGTTTATGCTTAGATCCTGCCCCTGGGTCAGAGGAAGGGCGAATAAGCCTGCTTGCGAGGCGCGGGTGCAAATTGTCATTTCGCAGATCGATGACTTCGACGACATCGCCAGGGAACCCTCCCTTCATGCCCCTGCAGCAAGACAGGCCTCCATTCCTGTGCGGCCAGCCTCTGTGAGGACAGACACGGATCCTTCCGCTCCACCGGACTTCGAATCGGAAATAGACAAGGCCATTTCTATCGGGTCCCCAACGAAGGCTTCTAATTCTAAGGTCAAGAAGTGCTCTGGCTTACTGTGGGCTCCGTGTTGGCAAGACCGTCGTTGGCGCAAGTGCTGCCTGGTCACTAGTGTCTTGGCCTGGGTGGTGGTCATTGCTGTGGGTATTTCGCTCGCACTCCTCTGGCCGCGTGATCCGACATGGCGGCTGACCAGCCTTCAGATGGACGTGGATGCGTTGATGAGCTTGGTCACGGCGGCCTCTGGCGGTCCCTCGGTCATCGACACCGCCATTGTGCCAGATCAAGTCTTCCGTGCAGAGGTGGAAGTGAACAATCCGAATCTAAAATTGGGGCTGAGAGCAAGTCGGGCTCAATTCACTTGGTCTTTGAAGGCCGTAGAATGGGTGCAGGGATCACCGGGCCGTTGACGCTCCCACCCCAATCTGCAGCAACTGTGCTGGCAGAAGGAACGCTGCAGGTTGACAAAGAGCTTCTTCATGCCATGGCAAGGGAACTGGCTTCCGAGAGTCCCACGCTCACTTTTCAACTCCGTGCCGAGTCCGACTTTCAAAGCGTTTTTTGGCTGGAGCTCCACTACGAGATGCTCTGCACGATTGACTTTTCCATTCCTGATCTCATGATGGCCGACACACGCGCTAGAGCAGTCACAGGCCGGGGTTGTGAGCACACCTACTTCTGAAGGAAGGAAGGTGCAGAAGGGCTATTGATTGTGTGTGTGCGGCGGCTGGAACCGGTCACAGCAGAGCTGTCGGCTTCTGCATCTGGCACCGCAGTACAACAAGACGTACCGATGCAGGATGCAAAGGCAGAAGCCACGCACAATCCCCAGTGCCACGAGCTCATCGAGCGGCTCTCAAAAGCTACGGAGCCTCCAGCCTGAGGCAGCAAGCGCGACTTGCACCAAGACAACTTCGGTCCGCATTGCATGCTGCAGCCGTTTCCTTCAAGCGGAGACTTCTTCCTCAAACTCTCCTACAATACACGACTCCTGGTCCTCCAGACTCTAGACCGAGCATGTCAGCAGTAGCTCAGCCAGTGCTTTGCGACTGAGAAAAGTAGACTGACCGTAGCAGCTGCCAATGCCCAACTGGACTCAGAAAGGCCTGGGCTCCAACAACCGCCTGCATCGAAGCTGCGAAGCTGCGGTGCCAGGATGTCTGAGGATGTTCGGGGCGCTGTTGGCAAAATGTCGCGGGTACTGCGCCCCCCGGATGCACTGCATGCATGCCGTGCTGCGGCTACGCGTGTCGATTTCAGGAATAGCCAAAGATCGAGCCAACACGCAGCCAGTGGCTCTGATTCGTCCAGCAAGCGTCTCACGCGTGTGTCGTTTGGAAAAGCTAGTGTTTCTGAGGTTCGGGAAGGTGCGATCGAGTCTCCGTTTGCGGGTTCTCTTCCGGCCAAAAAGCTCACTCGGCGCCAGGTTCGGGAGCGAGCGAAACGCTTCAGTTTGAGCGGCACGTGGCCCATGGGTGGCCCGTGTTCGGCACGGATCTGCCCGGTGCATCGGGGATGCTAAGGATCGCAAGCTGCAGCAAGCGCAAGCCAGAGCGGGCCACCTTTGAATGAAGCCTTGCCGGCAGACCTGGACAAGGCAGCCTGGGCTGCCCTGCAGAACCCAAACTCGCCCGGTTCCGGTTTCAAGGTGAGGCAGCTCACGGACTTGGGCTTCTCTGCCAGAGCCTGAAGGAAACATGAGACTAGCCTTGGTGCTCCTGTGCTCTCGACAGGAAGTAGCTGCTCGACATGCCCTGTGAGACCCCTAGCGACCCGTGCGTCTTTGCCCCGCGGCCCGCCAGCTTCAAAGCCTTGCCAAGGAGAGCTTGCGATGGGCACTTGGACCTAGCAGGCCAATGGTTGCGGGGACCCCAAAGCCCACCTTTAGTAACTCCAGATTCTATGACATAATAATACTTAAAATATATACATATATGTATGTATATATGTGCCTGTATACATAGCGTGAGCGTGCAGAGCTTCCAAAGGCTGGACGAAGGAAACGCTGACGAGGTCCTTGCTGCAGAGGCTCGCTCATGCGCGTGTGCGAGCCCGATGCTGCTGGAGCTGCAGTCGAAAGGTGAAGGTTGTGAGATTCGCTGTTAAGCCCTGGTGTCGCCTCTCCCACCGCACATTGGGTCAGCTTCGACGATGCTGCCAGCGTGTGTTGCAGGTGGCAGCGCAGGAGGATCGGGGTTTGGCCAGGCGTAGGTGTCGTTGAGATGTTCCATGGAGAGGCCGGAAGCCATCGATCGGTGCCTCGGACTTCCGAAAGCCCGGCTTTGGCAGTTGGAGGCCGTGCCAGGGCCGCGACCTGAGATCGGGTCGCAGCAGAAGCCGAACTTACTGCCTGGTATTTGTCCATGTACTGTAAATAGCTTTCGTTGAAGCCGCCTTCCTCACTTAGAGCGAAGATGCATTCATACAAGTGCCAAATTTATGCATGTCCGTGTACACACATCGCGAAAGTACACTGTATCAGGATGGCACACTAACTACCCTAAAGCAATTAGTCGTGCAAAGCTCACTCAAGTAGTGAATGCACAGAGTGCTCGCGATCTTGAGCCAACGAAGTTAGCAAAGTCTGATGTCTCACACTGACGGGATAATTTCACACGCCTCCTTGAGAGCAAAGCGGCCTTACTCAGCTCTCACACCTAAACACAGATGTGTATATGCATATATGTATATGTATACATATGTATATATATACATATATATATATATATGTAAGGTACATCACCATATATATATATACACATAAACACACACACACACATATATATATATAGAGGGTCTATTTCACCAGCTTTGCTATATACCATATCAAATGCCAAACTAAATAGTATATGGCTAAGTGGTAGTTTGAAACCGAAATCCAAAAAGTTTTGGACCGACAGTGATGTATTGTTTACTATCGAATTTCCATGACTTTCAGAAGCTTGGCCTGGTGAACAGCATCCATACTTGAGGTGTCAAGTTTCGTACATGATATCCCGTTCGTTGCCTTTCATGTACCCGGAAATGGATGGTTAGCAACTCACAAGCAGGCGGGCGGGCACAGCATGTAATCCAACAGTCCGATACTGGGCATTATGGTCATACATAGTATTCTTGGATGCTGCTGTTGATGTTGTGTTCGTATGTCTGTGAAATACTACTTCCCTTAAGTGTTTATTGAGTGTTGTCTAGCGTCGCTCGTTGTATGTGTTGTTTGCACTATGTATATATATATATTTATATTTATATTTATATATATGTACTTGAAGCGGTGAATCGCGCAATCGCAAGCAGCACCCCCTTATTTGTTCTTGCAGTCTATGTTTTCATGTCAGTCGTACTTTAATTACTTTTTTGTGCGGGGGTTGGGGGCCCAGGCGCGCTCCAAAGAAGCAGGGCCCCGCAAAGCGTCTCAGACACAGCCGGCGTGTCACGCTTCTCCAGCGCGCCTCCTTTGCGTCTCGACTCAAGCGTCTCAGGCGTCAGTTATTCAGAGCCCACTTTACTCCGCATCACACTTGACACAAGGGGAATGGCCAGAGGCATATACATGTGGGCAGGCATGCCATGCTTTCAGCAAACGAAAATTAGAGTCTGTTTGAAACCTTACTATCTAGATGCCCTCAGGCGGTCTGAATGCACATGCAGTCATGTGCAGGTACTTACAGCAATTGCATGGCAAGTCCCTTGCATGTACATCGCGTAACTCTTTTCAATCAAAGACTCTTTTCCTTTCAAGTGGCTTCAAGACACTAGCTGCTAGCTCTCTCTCTGCGTAGCAGTCAAAACCAACTTGCTGTCTGCTTGTGCAAGGGCAAGCCTTTAGATCCATCGGATCTTCTTGCGCCTCTGCAGGAGTGGTGGGAGCAAGGGGCAGGGGCACAGGGGGTAAGGGGCAGGGGGTAATTGAAATAGTTGAAACACTTAAAATGGTTGGTATTTCCAGCATGTCAATCTTTCAAGCATTTCAATGATTTGGGAGCCCATATTGATAAAATCCTTTCCTTATGCTGGGGCCAGGATTCCCCATTATTGAAATAATTGAAACATTAGAGATGGGTGGTATTTTAATTAGTTCAGTTATCAATTATTTCGATTATTGAAATCGTGGGGGGGTCTGCCTGAAAGGATGAGTGAGTGTAGGATTTCAAACATTTCAATGTGTTCCAAGATTTTGGCTTTTTGGTCCCGAAAAATCATTCCGATTTAAATCATTGGAGTGGTATTTGAAGTGCTTTAATTATTTCATAAAGTTGGGATCCAGAATAGCTGAAATAGTTGAACTGGGCTTATTTCAAGCAGTTCAATTATTGAAATCGTGGGGGATCTGCCTCAAAGCATACCTGAGTATGAGCTTTCAATCTTTTCCGATTTAGGACCCCAAATAATTGAACTAATCCTTTCCTTATGCTTGGGCCAGGATTCCCCATTATTGAAAAGTAATTGAAATAATTGAGGTGGGAGTTAAGGACCCATGATACTTCAAGAAAGTGAAGTGGGGGTTACTGCAATGCCTTAAAGGATAACTGCGTATGGGATTTCGATTATTTCCTCCAAATTCGGGGCTCATGCAAAACATTGGAAATAGTTGCAGATTCAATTATTTCAATTGTTGGAATCGTGCAGGATCCGCTTCAAAGGATCAACGAATATGGGATTTCAATCATTTCAAGCATTCCAGAAATTTGGGTCCCATAAGAATGGAAATAATTGCAATTTCAAGTATTTCAATTATTGAAAGCCTTGGGATCTGCCTTGAAGGATAGCTGAGTATGGGATGTCAGTTATTTCAGGTATTCCAGTATTTGGGGCCCACAACAATTGAAATAATCGAAATTTCAATTGTTGCTGCGCAATTTCAGTTATTGAAATCGTGGGGGATTTGCCTTAAAGGGTAACTGAGCTTGGGATTTCAAGGTTTCATTTAGTTCCAAAATTGGGGGCCCATTGAAATAATTGAAATCTCGATTGTTGAAATCGGGGGGATCTGCCTCATAGGATAACTGAGTATGGGAGTTCAATTACTTCAATTATTTCCAAAATTTGGGATGCATTTCTTCATGATTGGCCCAGAATTCCTGTTTGTTTCAATAGCTGAAACAATTGAATTGATGGTGGTTTTTGCTTGTGAAAATCATTTGTGTCCCCAAATAATTGAATTAATTGAGATCGCTTTGTGTCGATTTTGAGTTTTTTGTATGTTTCAAGTATTTTTGATACTTCTTTTTCTTATCCAAAGGAGGGCGTCAAATAGACCCTATCTCATGTACATGTGCATATACAAATACATATATACGGTACATGCATCTACATACGTCGGCCCCTGCCTCCGACCAACGGTGAGAACAATCTAAATTTTGGCTACTGCCGCTGCATAGTTCTGTTGTTGGTGCTGGGATGTTTTGCCAAC